TATTATTATTATTATTATTATTATTATTATTATTATTATTATTATTATTATTATTATTATTATTATTATTATTATTATTATTATTATTATTATTATTATTATTATTATTATTATTATTATTGTGTAGTTTTGGGTAGTAAATTTTGAAACCAAATCCATACACATTCAACATTTTGTTTTAATAAGATGAAGGAATGGCTCAGAAACTGAATAGCCAATGTTGAGGATAGCAAAAAAAGCATCAACTATCTTTTTTTCAATTGGTCAATAAGTGGTGAAAGAACAATATCGCCCAACACTTCTTACATTGATAATTAAAAATTAAGAGAGTTTTAAAAAAATACTTCAATTTAAAAGGTGATACCAAATCCTTTACTTATTAAATTGAAAAATTGAGGTGGATTTTTAAAAAAGCTCTTTTATGAGTCGATTCATTAAGACTCTGATGAACAGGTATTTCTTTTCATCGGATAAAATAATGAAAGGCATAAATTTGAATTTTAAAGACCAAAGTTTGAGAAGAGAGAAATAGTAACTTTGATGAAAAGCAATAGTTATTACTTATCGTCGAAAGTATAAAGTCAAATGAATTCTAAGAATCAAAAGTCAACCATTGAAACATGTAAGTAAAGGATATTAAAATTTTAAACTTGCAATTAACACCTCTGGAGGTAATGTGATGTCTTCGTTTTCGATTTGTTCTGGCATTTTAGCGATGACATTAGCTCCATTAATTGTTGACAAACTTATTACTGGTATTTCTGTTAAGCCCGAAATTGATGTTTCTTTCGTTTTATAATTATTTCTTTTTCTATAAAAATATTAATTAACAGAAAATACAAATGAGACGAAAGCGGCAAATAGAAAGTAAATAATTCATTCTGTAATTGTTAAAAATGTTGAACGTACTCTTCGTTTTGACTGTTGAGATTTTCGGACTGCACTTCGATAGTTGCACCGTGATCGATTTCAGTAATAAACGGTGGCATTGATGATGAAGATTTTCGCTCGACAATTGTAAATTTTGGGGCACCTAACTCTCGTGCTCTCTTAATTTCAGGAAGTGGGAATCCCCTTTCTCGAGGTGCAATAGTTTCCACCAATTTTTGGATGGGAAAACTTAGCTCAAACGATAGTGGAGTGGTTCCTGGTTCTGAATTAGATTTTAGTTGTATTGGCTGCAAAGATGGCGATGACGATGATGAAGTCGCTTCTACTGTATTATTTCCAGGTTCAACATTCTGAGTAGTGGCTATAATGTTGAAAAGATTTTATTGTCTTTAGCTCCTGATATATGTTTGAAACAATTTAATTTTCTGTAGGAAATTTTTGTAACACTGAGAGTTGTAATGATATAATAACCTAAGAGGGAAAAATGCGGGAAATTAAAAGCAGCTGTTGACATTTAATTATTTATACTAATGGATTATTTATACTCAAAAATCGCAAAATTGGCAGAAATGAACAGGGATCAACTTACTTGAAAGAAGAGAGAACAATAAGTAAATCAAAATTTCACTTTCCATCCTTCCTCAATCCTTTTTCCTTTTCACTTTTCACTTAGCCTTGTACTCTCACTTTTAGACCGCTAGAAATTATTTGAGTTAGAAAATCCTGAAAATATGAAATTAAAATGACATCATAAAACTGAGAAAAATTCGATTAACTTTTTCCAAACGATATTGCCTTTTTTTTTGCTTCTCATCAAATTGTTGAAATATATTTCATTTCATTTGAAAAAGTAAAACAATAAATTATCTTCAAATTCTGTCAATATGAAGGAATAGGAAAGTTTTCATTATTCAATAGATAGGAACTAAATTGGAAAAGTCGCAAACGTTTTTGAAATAGCCGAATGGACAAAATCTTATATTGATAAATGATAAAATCATAAGAGTAAAATGCATATTTTAGGGCTAAATTGAGAGATTACGTGTCTCTGCATTTGTCACTGCTGAAGAAACGTGTTACGTGGCAGAGATTTTAATTTGAAAAAGCAATGGATAAAAGAGAGGGAAAAACATAAATAACTATCTGAAATGAACATCTAGGGATACAGAAAAGGAACAAAGTTACACATGAATAAGAGGATATGCATGAGAAGAAATTGTAGATTTGAAACTTTCTTGATGTATATTGTATTGATGTCAATACGAGAATCAATTATTCTGCGGGATCAGTTATTCCGGATATTTGCGGAAATACAAACCGTAGAATAAAGATGATTGCGACAGCGGTTTCTATTTCCTATCTTGGAGTTATTCAATTGTTTCCCTTTGTTTCCATTCAAAAATGTATTTTATATTTCTGGAAATAAATGAGAACGGAATGTATTCTCTGATTAATTTTGAATTCAAACAAGTTTCTTGTTAAGGAAAAAAAGTAATTTGTTAACTTCTTTTAAGTTTCAAATTAGCTTTGGATGGAGAATTTATAATCATCAATAAAATAAACGTTTCATGACCAGTGGGCACATCCAGCCAGTTACGAATGGACATTCTAATTGACAGTCTTGAAGCAGGCACATGGTAAATCCAAAGTAGAAATGATGGTAAGACGAAAGAATTTAGTCCATAAAAAAATTCTGAATCATTAACAAATACTATTTTAGGATGGATTTTTGATCAAGTAAACAAGGAATGGAAGCTATAATTAGACAAAATAAAGTGTACGGTATCAGGAATGAATTATCTTTAAAAATATCACGTCAATGAATTCGGAATTAATATTATTTGGAGAGATTTAGATATGCGTTTATTTATGAAATCCTTACAACACAATGTCATTTAAGTATTACAAAAAATATATAAAATTGATAATTAATTGGGAGGATGAGAGTAAAATTTCATCTTTTGATAGTGATAACTGTTAACGATTGATGAAATAGTACCACCAGGGAGATACATTTAGGAGCGCGTTAATTTGCAAAAAGAATTTAAAAATTTTGAATTTCATTACCAAATTGAGTCCAGAAACCAGTTCTCCCTATTGCCAATACGGCATAAAACGACTAATTTTCCTCCTTCATATGTTACCCAACCAATTGTGTGCTGAAAAAAAAATGTTTCAAACCAGCTACTGAGCGCAATTTTATGAAATTCACGAAATCTAATCGGAGAAAATACTGATTTGCTTGTGTGTTTGTTTATATACTTGTGTATTATTTACTCAAATTTCTGGATTTGTCAAATGAATTGAAATAATCTTTAAGTTGACATATCTCACAATCTCTTTCAAATGGAAAGAAGGTAGTAGTAGTTCTCGCTTGCACATTTTCAACTTTGCATTTTAATATTAAAAAAGAGAGAGAGAGAGGAAATGAAAAAGTTACCGCTCTTTTTTTTTAATAATATTATAGAAAGTTGCTACTTCCAAATTTCCAATGTCAAGTCCAAGCAAATTTTTCAAAACTTTGGTTTAAAACTTTTTAATAATAGAAAAGGTCCATTAAATTTTATTGAACATTGCTCATTAACGAAATTTAATTTCTTATAAGATAATAAGAAGTTGAATTCAGATAAACTTACGCAATGATATCAAAATAATAATTGTAGGGAAAGGAAAACAATAAGTTTGTTTTTACAAGAAGTCAAGAACCTGTGGGAATCAGAGTTTGAAACTGAAAGTACTTGAATTCTTAAGATAAAGTAGTGATACTAAAACCCCCAATGTTTTAATCTGGAACTTTTCACAGTTTTAAAAACACAAACTTTGATTCAGCACTTTGCCATCTTATATTTGCTTAATCAAATCTTAAAGTGAATGAAATTGCGTGGTAAAGAATTCTTCATCTATGCAGTAAAAAACGGGAACTTAATACAAGAAAAATTGGGACATCAGAATTATGGAAATAAATTTAAAACTGGAAATGATAAGATGAAAAGGTAAATCATTGAAAGCATTGAAACTACCATTCCATCAGCATCATTATTCCGTTCAAGGACAATTTGTTTGTTCTAATGGTAACATATACAAACATTGTTGTTAGTAAAAGATGGAAAAAAAGAATTTGTATTTTTTGCTTATTTTTTGAATAAAGTCATATTGGATGTTAGAGAAAGGTGACAATTCGAAAGTAAATAAACAAAAATGATTAAATTTACAAAGTTCTGCTTGTTGAAGTATCAATACTGCTTTTTAAAAAAAAAAAAAA